AACATTTATCAAAAGCACAGAAGGTGCTCAATGAATGTTTGTCAGGCTGGACGCTTGACAGGAGCGGAACGATGCTCACTGTATACGTGCTCCCCTGTGGCCCTCAGGACATTAGGTCAGGTCACAGTGATGATATCCGCTGTGCAGGCAAGCATCGGGAAACCCACAGCCTTGCCCGGGGTCACACCATTAACAGGTGGCCCCGAAGGGCTCTGCCTTGAGGTCACCTGACTGTAAGGCCCTATGACCAGCCCCAGAGGTCAAGGTGTTTCTTGGCCCTCAGTTCCTCAAGGTGAAGAGTCTTAATTCTCTTAGACAAAGTTGGCCTCTCCAACGTGTTAAGTATTTTATGAGACTTTTCTCAAAATATTCAACTCCAACATGTCTTTTTCTTCTAAGGTCACCTCAGCAGCCTGAACAACATGCAGAAATTCACACGCAGATACCTCGTGGTGGAACAGAATATTTCACACAACCCTCGAAGTATACAGCATCCTCATCTACGTGTAGGTAGAAATTCAGACACTAGCGTGGTTTCAGACCTTGGTCATCTCTAGCACCCTTCAGCGACCGCCTGGGCTCACATTTTGTTACTGTTAATAAAATAGAGATTAGTTGATTAGATGGAATTTAGAACATAGCTGAGCATTTTTTAAAGTGTTTAATGAAATGGCCCTTTAAAAACAACCTATTAGTTGTCAGATGTCCTTCAAAAATATGTAACATCCTAATGAAAACAGAACAAACAAACAAACAGCTGAGGCCTGTAGGGTCACGAGATCTTAAAACTTTCGGCCTCCTTTCTGACACCTGCAGCTTGCAGCTCCACTTCGCCCCCGGACCGCTGGCGCTGGAGGCTGCAGCCCTGACAGGCAGCGGGCAGCAGCTCGGACTGAAGTCACTCCCGCCGCTGAAGGAGGCCCCGAAAGCATCTGATTATTTTAAAATGTGCTTTCATTGTACTGCTTGCAGCTGTGAGTTAATTTTGTTTTAAAAAAAGACCATTTGCTTCTTTAAAATCCAGGTTTGCTCCCCTCCGCAGAGCAGCTGCAAGGCGAGCAGCGCCGACTTCACACCCCGCCGCCGCGCCCCAGAGCACCAAGTTGAGAGGCTGCCTTCCTCCCCAGCAGGGGATCCGCACTGCGCTCCGGGGCGCACGGCTTCCGGGACTCTCCTCATTGGCTGACTGGGGCAGACGGGCAGGTGGGTGGGCCAATTGCAGAGCTGTACAGTTTCAAAGCGGACAGCGTCTTTGAGGTCCTCGAGTCTGACTCTCAGCCCTTTTACAGATGAGAAAATTCAAGGACAGAGAGGTGAAGTGGCTGGCCTAAGATTTCACGTCTAGTTAACGGCAGTCCCAGTGCATATAATCTGGAACCAGGAGCAACTGGGTGTGGGGACGTGGAGATGGGGTGCCATCATTAGATTTTGCCAGCAAGCATTCTTCTTCCCCAAGGCAGTATTTACGACAGCTGTCTACTTGATATCGTAAAGATGCGTGGCCACTGGCTCCCTGGCTCCTCTCTAGTTCCATTTCTGAATCACATTCTCAATAGAATTCTGAACTATGTCTCTCTACCCTCACCATAGGCTGCAGACTCACCTCCCTCAAAAACATGCTCTCTCATTCATCAGGCCTCACCAATCTGATACGACTCTTAAGTCATTAGATGTCAATATGTGCTTGGTTAAATTGACTTCTAACTTTGCAATTCACATTGCTCGTGGGGTTTCTCCCTTTGAGCATAATGCTGAATTAGACAAGGGCGTTTCAGATCCTGGCTTTGGAGCTTCAGGTCAGCACGCGGCAACCCGTGTCTGAATCTTCCCAGGTTTCTATGTGTTTGGAATGAGCCACATGGTGATAAACGGTGATCAATCCTGTTTCTGCCATGGCCCCTTTAGCAAGAGGGTAGCTCTGCCAGTCACTTGCCAATCAATTTCACAGAATGTAGGTTGTGCCTTACCCAATTCAAGTCTCCTAATTAATGAAGTGACAAAATTTTGACAGTTTGTTGGCTTCTCTGGCTCTTGCGGAAATTGGGGGAAGAGAACCTTAGGAGGTTCAAGAGAAGGGGAGAGTGAGTAAGGAGAGAAAAATACACACTGATTTAATAGGTCTTTGCCAATTTTTAGCTAATAACCATTTTTTTAAATAGATAACCTTTTTAAATTATAAAAGCAATATGTGTTCAGTGCAGAAAATCTTTAAAATACTGGAAAGCATAAAGAATAAAATAAAAGCCACTTTAATTTTGACTTTTTAAAAATTTTTTCATGTAATGAAAACCTCAGTGCCATCTAGCTTAAATGATTAGGCAATATACTAGCTCATTCTAAAATCAGGACAGACTTCAGTCCTGTTTTGATTCAGAAGTGTGACAATGCCACCAGATACAAGGTCTCATGACATATCTGCTTCATCTTCTGTGAGTCAGTTCACATTAAGGCCAACTTCCTCCTAGAGTCACAAAATTTCTTCTAGTATCTCCTGGGACTTTATGTTTTCTTAGTCACAGTAAGGGAGAGAGAATGGATATCTCCCACCCAACTAAGAAATCTTCCAACTCTTTTTAGTTGGATCAAATAAAATTATATGCCTGTCACCGAATCAGACATTAGCGTCAAGATAATACTTGTGCCAAATGGCTAGAGCCTGGATTATGTGTCTACCTCTGACCTAGTAACCGTAACTAGAGGAAAAGGATCGTGCAGATTGGCCCCACTCAGTGGTGGACCACCTGCAGAACTAAAGGTGAAGGTCAGCCTTATCAAATTGCTTGGCTGCTGCACACGGTGTGGAGGCAGGGGAGGTAATGGGATGGATGCTGCGGAGTCAGTCGCTCACAGTGTCCTCCATCCACTAGAAATCCAGCTGCCTGGGGAAGACCATAGTTGGCATTTTTGCTATATAGCTCTGAACTTATACATATATTCTCTGTGTGTTTGTGTATTTCAAATTAAAATTATATTGTATATACTGTTTCATATACTCCATTTTTCACTGAAAAAAAATCATCCGTGTTTCCTCGTGTCATCCAATATTCTAAACATTATTTAAAAGGCTACATGGAATTTAAATAACTCCTAAAGTTTGGAAATTTATTGAGCTGTTTCATTTTTCATCCTTACAAAATTAAGTTACAAAAAAAAAAAACCCACAGATATGGTCACCAGCCTCACAAAGATAGCAATCTAGTGAGGAAGAGACATGCTAGCAAACAAAAGTTAAACAGAAAGTCACAGATGTGATGGCTCTTTTGAAGGTCAAGTGCAGGGTCCTGTGGGAAGGCAAAGTCTATCGATGGCAGTAGGAACAGCCACTCAGAAGAGGGGAGTTCAATCTGAGACTTGAATGACGAGTAGGATATACTCAGGGGCATGTGAAGTGGAGTGGAGCAGGGAGCCCAGCGATAGATTTCAAAGACCTGGAGATGAAAGATAGTGATGACGCGGGATCTGAAAGCAGGTCCTTGTGGTCAGAGCGTAGAGTGAGGGAGAGGGTGGAGCAGTTGTCTGGAGAGGCAAGGAGGGACCAGAGGATGTAGAGCCCCACGAGCTGTGTTCAAGAATTTGGTCTTCATGCTAAGGGCGATAAAAAGAGTTTTAAGCAGGGAGAGACAGAACCATCTCTGCATCTTAAAAGATCATTCTGACAACAGCATGGAGAGGTTAATAAGAACTGAAATTGAACATGGTGAAAAACCTCTTAGGAGGCTCCTATGCTGCTCAGGTTAAACCATGGTGGTGGCTTAGATGTAAGTGTTGGCAGAGAGAAGGGGAGGGGACTCAAGGGTTGCTTCCGTTGTTCCCTGAACCATGCATAAAAGGAAAAGCAAAACCAAGCCTAAAGTCTGTAACGTGAGGGAGGTACCCGAGAATCAGTGTAGAAAAGAATCCAAATTGCCTCCTGTTCGCTGGGAAAGACTTAGAGAGATGAGTACACGGAAGAAAAATAAAATTAGGTGTAGTAATTCTGATTCACAGACACCATTTCCTGGCCAGATGCTGCCGTGGAAATTTCATGAACACCCGCTAAAATCATAAATGAAAATCACATATTCATAACGTTTAATGAGAATACAGGCTGAATTTACATCCACTGAATGTGCAATACGGATGAAGATGTCAATTTGCCCATGGAAGATGGAAATATATACGGTAGAGGAAAACAATATCCAGAAATGTGACAAATATTTGCATGAAAATGAGTCACAGGAAGAACTCAAAACTTCTTCAATACTTTATGCATCAAATTATCTTCAGAGCAGTCAAAAAATAATAATAAATAACAATAGTGCATTTTCCTGCCATTAATTTTGTCACAAAACTTCTGTTGACTTCAGTGGAAGTTCTGCATCTAGAATGTTGCCCAGGAAATTTATAGTCTGTAACTCAGAGACCAAAGACCTTGAACATCAAGAAAATCTCTTACCCTTATTTATATACACTGTTCTTTATCTTTATCACAAAGGAAGAGCCGGTACCCATTCCAACTAGCCAATCATTATGCAAGGAATATTCTGACTCACCCAGCATCTTTAATCAGTAAATGCCGTGCCAATGGAAAGAGAGTGGGGAGAAGTCACAGCGTCCATTAATAAAAAATGACTGGGGCTTTCTATCAACAGAAGCATCATTAGGAAACGTATGGTAGGAAAATAGTAGGCTGTAGATTTGTGGTGGCAGGGATGGCAACGGAATACTAACATTTACACCCTCTTAACCACTTCACTTTAAAATAATGCCGGATTCCAGTAACCACGTATGTGCTTAGTAGAGCATTCTGCATTTTCAATTTCTTGCTAAAGTCCTAACCATAGCCTCCAAAGATGAGTGTGCCTTCCTTACCTTACTCTGGCTCTCCCTTCAGCCTCCGGACACAAATATTTCTAATGTTTTCAGTTTTATTGAAATGTAATGGATACATAACACTGTACAAGTTTAATGATTTGATATATGTATCTATTACAAAATGATTATCACAATAAGTTTGGCTTAAAAATAGGGAATGCTTCTTGAATTTGCATGTTTTCTTTGCACAGGGGCCTTGTTAGTCTCCTCAGTATGGTTCCAGTTTTTAGTGCATGAGCTGTTGAGGTGAGCGTCACGGATACGTCTAATGGGTAACTGACTGTGATTGCCATCATAACGTACCTTTCATGAGAGCTTTGGTCAATTCTTGGCAAAAAATAAATCAGATGTGATGAGGAAGAATCTCAGATTACTCTTTGCCACACTTCTACTCCCAATCCCAAACACTCGAGTAAATAAAGAAAATACAATTCACATCCCCAGTAAATGGTGCAAATCTGTATTTCAACCGAGGATGCTTCCTGGTCACACAGTAGACTTGTAAACTGCATTGCATTTTGAAAGAAAACAAAGTAGTCACTTTCCATTGACAGACAGCCTTCTTGAGCATGTCTTCTGGCAGGTTAAAGGGACCCCGGTCATACGCTGAGGGTGCTTGGAAGAATCATACGTTCATATAAAAGACCTAAAAATCTTAATAGAGGGATGAGCTAAAACTTCAAAAGTCCCCCATTACCATGTAACTTTTCAAGTATCACTAATGCATGGCACCAGTGGATTAGCAGTGTTCTGCTTTAACGGCATTTCTGCCCTATCATTAACCCAAGCATGGTCCATAGAGTTACTTGAATATCCATAAACGAGCTTACGGCTGTTTATGGGGTTTCCAGTTCTATCAGCATCAAATTCCTTCTCTGTGTTCAGTTGTGTGGATCTGAAGGCTAGGGACTGGATAGCAGTGTTGTTAAATGAATTCAGCTTTCCTTCGTGTCCATTTTCCATGTTTTGGTTTTGAAAGGTCATGGCTCTGACCCTAACATGCATGGTAGAACATGACTTCTACAGATACTTCATTGTTAATCGATATTTTGCTTTTAGACAGAATCTGGATAGATAGTGTTTTCAAATCACGACCCAGTCTACACTGGAAATTATACCAGTTTTGATAAGAAGCAGTTGGAATACACCACCCACCAAAAAAAAAAAGTCCTATTTAATCCAGTCTTCTATTGGAATTCCAGGATTTATGTCTCTATTATAGAAAAACTCATTTTGGTTATAGCACCAACATGGCCAAATAAATGACTTCTAGATGCAAGAAGAAAGTATTTGGCCAAGACAAATAGGTGTTCAAACAGGCCTCCTCAGTTTACTCATTTTGCTATATGGAAAATGAACTAACCGAGTTTAATGTACACCAAATGAGATTTGGAATCACGTTCTAATTCACTTCTTTCTGTACCAGGAATGAGCAGTTTTTGATTTCCCTGCTTCCACCTTTAACCCCTACAGTCTATTCTCAACAAAGTGATCCTTTTAAACTATACACCAGATCACGTGACTCCTCTACCCCAAACACCCCCACGTCTCCCTAAGAACAGGGCGAGCCAGAGCCCCGGCAGCGGTCTGCGGTCTATACAGTCGGGCTCTCTGGTCTACTTCATCCCCACCCCTGCCGCCGCTCATGTCACCCCAGTCCCACTGGACACACTGCTTCCCAAACACACCCAAACCCAACATGTTCGCACCTCAAGACCTCCGCACGGCTTGCCCCCTCTGACCAGAGCTCTCTTCCCTCTGATGCCACGTGACGCATCCCCTCCCCTTCTTCACAGTCACCATCCCAACAGGCAACCTTGTCCAACCCCCTCCGCCCGCTTCCAGTACCCTTTGTCCTGTTCTGTTTGCCCTCCGTAGCTCTCCTCACCTTCTCACATTCTGCACAGTTTACATATTTATCATGTTTACTGTCTTTCTCTCTCACTACAATTTAAACTCCACAAGGACAGAAACTTTAGTCCATTTTGTTCATCTCTGTATGCCCAGAACTTGAAACAATGCTCAGCACATAGTAAACTCATGCTTACTAATATTAGTTGAATAAAAGAATGAATTCCAAAGTTGTGGAATGTGGCAAAGATCTAGCACACTGAAAATGTGTGGGTGTTTTGCTTAAAGTTATGATTTAAGTTCTTCAGCCTCAGTTTTCTCATCTATAAAATGGAATAATTATATTATTTAACACTTAGGTTTGTTGTAAAGATTAAGGGAGAAAATAAATGGAAGCATTTTAGACAATGATTCACATATTTATTATTTTGATTAGTCCAAGAATTATAAAAATCAAGAATAGAAACCATACCTAACATTTGTGTAGAATTTTATACTTTATAAAGAACATAATTGTTTTCATTAGATCCTTATAGGATCCCCTCATAATATGTTCAGAACTGGATCCTCAGTGTCAAGGATGCATCCAACCACAAGACTATGATAGCAGAGGCAGATTCAAACTGAAGTCCTCTGAGTCCAAGCTCTGTGCTCTCTTCAATATCAGGGAAAGAATATCTTCCTTTGAGCACAAGGTTTTAACGGGATGAAAGATCTTTGAAGTGATATGTTGTGTTTGGGTGTCTGTTCCCTAAGTCTGGATGTCTGCTTAGAATGTGGTTTAGAAGAGGCGGTGATCACCAGCACAGAATACTCCCTGCAAATCCCAAAACGTCAAGACTCGGAGACCAGAAGAGATCTTCTCACCACTGATGGCTGAGTTAGTCACGTACATGCAGTCTGGGATGCCTTTAACATCCAAGTGTTTCCCTGCATCCTACAAACACCTCGAAAAAGGACTAAGTTTTCTGAGAGGGGGTCCCCAGTTCCTGATTCCGTCTTGGTTTGCATGGCTGGTGTTTAGTATATCCTTAGCGCACAGATGAGTGAATTTAAAATGGGTGTGTTTACGTTGCTGCCTGCATTAGCTTGCAACACAACATTTTCTCCCTTTTTTTCTGCTAAAGTAATTAGAGCATAGGCAGATGTCTACAGCATCGTGCCCTGCCCCATCCTTCACAACTGTGTTAATTGGCAAACAAGTTCCCCAGAATGCCATGCACAAAAGAATTACACATTTAGGAAATGCTGAGTTAAACAAGTTCAAAGAGGCTTTTTTACTACAGGACTTCTCAGAGCCTTTACTACACCAATGCACACTGCAAATCTTCAAAATTTTAGTAGCATGTATAGTATTTTGCAAATTATTAGATTATGTACTCCCTCCCCCATGAAACAAAGCTTTTTGCATGGAGTTTCTCTCAAGTCAAGTCTTCAGAGAGCATATTATAACAAATACAGTCAGGGTCTTTGAAAGCAGAATCCATTAAAAACTTAAAATAAATGCCAGAAACATGAAGTCAAGGAGAGTTTATGCTTTTCTGTAGAGCTGGATACTTTATAGGGTAATTTTACTTAGACTTACTATTTAATTTCTATGAAACATACTAGGCTTGTGTAAGCCCACAGATTCTGAACAAGCATTATTTGGGAGAATGTGCTAAAAGATTGATATTTATTTCACCTTTTTTTTTTTAAGGAAGGCACAGGTTTGGGGTCCTCACATAATCTCATGGACTTTAAATAGAAGGCCAGAGATCCTTATAAGCAAAGTAGTTAAACTTACGACAGAAAGAAAGCAAAGGATGCTCCTGTCCTATTGGTCTTAACACAGGGTCTCTTGGCCCAAATAAATGAAAACTTCTATCAACAGCAAATGTTGTCCAAAAATCTTTATCAGTTAATAGCATCTTACTTAATTTTATTTACAAGATAAGAGTAAATAAACAAAGCAAAGGACTGACAGCACAGGGCACAGAACCTGTACATTTAGATGAGGCCAAGAAGAAGATGGTTGAGGGGGGAGGGAAGTCAGGAAAGGACAGCTGCAATCAGGCTCCCTGAAGGAGGTGATGGGGGGGAGGCTCATCAGGAAGAAAGATCCAGTAAAATGGGATGAAAGAACCTTGAATTCCACTGTGTCCACTTTACACTTTAGCCTTATGGTGGCCATGGTGACAGAACTCAAGCGTTGGAGTTTGAAGGAAATCGTAAGCAGAAAGCTGGGAGGTCTAAACCTGGCTGTGCAGATGCTGCTGGCTAAAGAGACAAAGACACCTAGGGAAGGAGGTCTTGTCCAGAGAGGACACTACCTGTCACCAATACCAGAAGCTCCTGAAGGTGTGCAGTCCCCAGATCCTGTCCCAGGCATTCAAGGTCAAAGTCTTTTCTCTGGCTCATCTCCACTCCACCCACCCCTCCACCCTTAGCTGTAGCCCCTGATGAAGAGGGGATAGAAACTAGCCTGATTATCCCTGCCGCTGGGACAGGGTTTCATGTGCAGACTAACACACACCCCAGTCATCACTGTGGCCCCGAGTCCTCCATTTCGTTTCTCATGCTATAGAAATATGTAGACTGTTTGAATGATGAACAAATCCCCTCCTGTCTCTCTGGACATGGATGGTTTATGACTCGCTCAGCACTTGACACTGAGATTTAGTCACCACTTGGAGACTCTTCCCTGAACTTGAACCTGCACAGCCCCTTTTTGTTCTCCACGCCCGCTCCTCTTTCCAAGCTTTTGTGAACGTCCTGCAGAGACCTCCCCAGGCAATCCGCGCTAAGCACAGCTCTCTGAGCCAAAGACCTTCTCTTAGGGCATCTGGATGATTTTAATGGGAAGGTTTTGAATGGGTAAACCCTGCACCTTGAACAAATCTGCACGCCACTGATGAAGGAGGCAGAGCCCCAGATGAGCAGAGCTCATCCCTGACCAGCACAGCCAGCCGTCTACCCACTGCAGCTCGCCCACAGCTCCCTCCTCGGAGCTGCTGAAATCTGCTCTTCCTTTGTCTTCTGAAGAAGATCTAGCTTCCCCTGGATGCTTTCCAGGATAAAACCCACTCATTTCCTTGACTCGCAATGTCCTCTTGAAAACTAAGTAATGAAAGCAGATGCTCTAGCTCAGACACATATTTTCTCACTCAAACGTTCATCACAGCTTCCCACCCAGAGCTGAAGCATTATCTGCTAGGAGATTCACAATCTCTCAAGTCCACGGAAAGGTTGGTCAGGCGGTCCTTGTGGGTTCCGTAACTGTAACTGTAACTTTCAATTAATCCGAAATTTTGCTTTAAAGGATTTTGTGTATTCTGTTTTTATTCTTATAGGATATCCACAAAAAAAAAAAAAGATTTTCTTTGAGTATCCTGTACTCTTTTCCATATTCATATCACCTA